ATCTTCAATAATTCTGTCAGTCACGCTTTCGAGAAGTTTCCTATTTAAAATCAGCAAAATCTGTCCATATATAACGAAGATATAAGTAAAAACCCAAGACATCCTATAAAAATTACATTAAAAAAGAGAATGTGCAAGATGTGAGTTAGTTAGTTAGTTAGTTGGTTAGTTAGTTAGTTAGTTAGTTAGTTAGTTAGTTAGTTAGTTAGTTAGTTAGTTAGTTAGTTAGTTAGTTAGTTAGTTAGTTAGTTAGTTAGTTAGTTAGTTAGTAGTTAGTTAGTTAGTTAGTTAGTTAGTTAGTTAGTTAGTTAGTTAGTTAGTAGTTAGTTAGTTAGTTAGTTAGTTAGTTAGTTAGTTAGTTAGTTAGTTAGTAGTTAGTTAGTAGTTAGTTAGTTAGTTAGTTAGTTAGTAGTAGTTAGTTAGTTAGTTAGTTAGTTAGTAGTTAGTTAGTTAGTTAGTTAGTAGTTAGTTAGTTAGTTAGTTAGTTAGTTAGTTAGTTAGTTAGTTAGTTAGTTAGTTAGTTAGTTAGTTAGTTAGTTAGTTAGTTAGTTAGTTAGTTAGTTAGTTAGTTAGTTAGTTAGTTAGTTAGTTAGTTAGTTAGTTAGTTAGTTAGTTAGTTAGTAGTTAGTTAGTTAGTTAGTTAGTTAGTTAGTTAGTTAGTTAGTTAGTTAGTTAGTTAGTTAGTTAGTTAGTTAGTTAGTAGTAGTTAGTTAGTTAGTAGTTAGTTAGTTAGTTAGTTAGTTAGTTAGTTAGTTAGTTAGTTAGTTAGTTAGTTAGTAGTTAGTTAGTTAGTTAGTTAGTTAGTTAGTTAGTTAGTTAGTTAGTTAGTTAGTTAGTTAGTTAGTTAGTTAGTAGTTAGTTAGTTAGTTAGTTAGTTAGTTAGTTAGTTAGTTAGTTAGTTAGTTAGTTAGTTAGTTAGTTAGTTAGTTAGTTAGTTAGTTAGTTAGTTAGTTAGTTAGTAGTTAGTTAGTTAGTTAGTTAGTTAGTTAGTTAGTTAGTTAGTTAGTTAGTTAGTTAGTTAGTTAGTAGTTAGTTAGTTAGTTAGTAGTTAGTTAGTTAGTTAGTTAGTTAGTTAGTAGTTAGTTAGTTAGTTAGTTAGTTAGTTAGTAGTTAGTTAGTTAGTTAGTTAGTTAGTTAGTAGTTAGTTAGTTAGTTAGTTAGTTAGTTAGTTAGTTAGTTAGTTAGTTAGTTAGTTAGTTAGTTAGTTAGTTAGTTAGTTAGTTAGTTAGTTAGTTAGTTAGTTAGTTAGTTAGTTAGTTAGTTAGTTAGTTAGTTAGTTAGTTAGTTAGTTAGTTAGTTAGTTAGTTAGTTAGTTAGTTAGTTAGTTAGTTAGTTAGTTAGTTAGTTAGTTAGTTAGTTAGTTAGTTAGTTAGTTAGTTAGTTAGTTAGTTAGTAGTTAGTTAGTTAGTTAGTAGTTAGTAGTAGTTAGTTAGTTAGTTAGTTAGTTAGTTAGTTAGTTAGTAGTTAGTTAGTAGTTAGTAGTTAGTTAGTTAGTTAGTTAGTTAGTTAGTTAGTTAGTTAGTTAGTTAGTTAGTAGTTAGTTAGTAGTTAGTTAGTTAGTTAGTTAGTTAGTTAGTAGTTAGTTAGTTAGTTAGTTAGTTAGTTAGTTAGTTAGTTGTTAGTTAGTTAGTTAGTTAGTTAGTTAGTTGCTTTATGCTTCATGTAATTTTTAAGCTTTAATTGAGGTCAAAGCTCTTATTAGGCTTAAAACTTCAATCAACTTCAAACTTTCTATTAAGCTTAAAGTTTTGGTTTAGCTTAAGGCTTCTGTTCTTATTGCAATTTCAATCCTATTAATAAGTCAATAGCCGATTTCTGCTCTTCACAAAATAAATATGTTTATTAAGCTTAAAGCTTTGAAAACACAGTTATAGATACCCTCTTAAAGTGAAAAATTATTAAAGAAATAACAGTTATCTACAACCTATTGATTGTCAAACATTCAAATACAAAATACAGAATAGTACAAAAAATTTTAACATCTATCTCTCAATCACAGTGCGAAAAAAATCCTTTACATTTTATTAAACCAAATCTTTGACATAAAATATTCATGTGGGAAGAACTTTGTAGGCGTTTGATTTCAGTGTGATTTCATTTCTCGGCATATAAAAGGGAATACACAGTTAAATACCTCTAAATATTTTTCGACATTTTAAGAGTATTTATGTATTTTATGGATGAAAAAGAAAATGTTTTTTTAACATTTTAGGCGAAAAGCACCTTTTGCCTTATGTCGATAGACCGAAAAAGAAATATTTCTTAAAAAAGAACCAAAAAAGAAATTAAAAGAAAACAGTAGAGTTAAAAATATTTTGCTTAAAAAAGTAACTAGAAAGAGGGGAATATTTTTAAATAATAATTTATAAGAAATGTTCAAATATAAATTAATTAATACCTACTTAAATTATACCCCAAATATGCTAAAAATATTTATACAAGAGTTTTTCCCAAGTAAAATTTACTTATTTGGTAAAATACATCGCCATTAGTAAAAAGTAAATGGTGTCATTAACGCCCACCTTTACTTTTTATTAATTTAACTCCAACCTTTTTAAAATTTTTAGGAAAAAAAAACTAAAACTCATGAGTTTGCTTTATAAAAACTTAAAGTAATTACATATTTACCTTAAAAATATAACTTTTTTGTTTTCGGCTTTAAAAATTCACCAAAAAATGACAAATCCTTTTGTTTTTATTGTTCATTTTAATGAATTCCATAGAGTCTATATATTAGAGCCAAAAAAAAAAATGAAAAAAAAAAAATAAATAAAAAGAAAAGGTTTACATTTAAATTGTATTTTGTCACAATATGCTTAGAATGCGCATATTTTTCTTACAAAATTGTCTAGAAATATTTAAGGGGGTAGCCTAGAATATTACACCTAAAATTTAAGTTATTTCCCTGTATACAATGTTTAACCGAGATGTTTGTTTTATGTTCTAAGAATATTTTTACATAAAAAATGTTTTGTAGAATAATTCTTTTTGAAAGAAAGAGTATTCCTACCACAGAGAACAATAGTGTGTTTGTATTTAGTCCCCAAATGACTTTTAAGTGCAAAAATATAGTCATTAAAATAGACAAACTTACCTTAATTTATTTTGCGTGACTTGAATATTTTTAGCAAATTCATAGACATACATACTCATACACATATCTTGAGTGAATACACAGACATAGATATGTATATGTACTAATAGTTAAGGTATACATATGTATTTAAGAAAAATAGTCTAGCAAATGTTTAGGGGATCATATCCCCTATGTTTAAGTAACCAGAAAAATATCATGGTTACAGAAATATAATTTCTAAAATTAAAACTAACAATCATTATATGTTTGTTAAGATTTTCATTAAAATGTCTAGCTCTCGATTTCGAATAAAATTAAATAAATCTGGTATTTCTAAACAGTTCGATTGATCCGATTCAATAGTTTACGAAATACATACTATAGTATGACAGATTTGTCAATATTTTGCGTGGCGCCTACTTTGACGGTTTAAGCTTACGTTGCTCTTAATGCTGGGTGAATACAATGCGTCCAACAGCGCACCCTAAACCATCCGTACAAAAACGACAGGAAGTGCCGAACAACCTGATTTGAAGTCATGCAATTGCACATAACCTCCCTCTTGGTTTGGGGCGGAGATTATCTAAAACTCTTAGTAATAACGGTACGCAGTTGCAATACAACTCCACCCCGAGCTCACGCTTAACCTCAACTTAGTCTTAGTGTTTGTAAATAATGGACACAAATGTCGCCATATTTTTTTGAAACCCATTTTTATGGATTAATAACACATTTATATAGCCAGTCACAAAAGTAATTGTTTAACTTCTCGGTTACTATACGAATTGAATATTAGAGACCTCAACTGAGAAAGAAGATAATTTCTGCCCCGAATCATGGATTCATTATGTCTAACATCGTGTGTAAAACTTGGCCAACTAGTTAAATCGACACCAAATATTCATGGCGCTAAGGTAATGCTCTGTATTTCGGTCTGTAATCTAGCGGGACCAACACTGATTCGTTTAAAGCAATCTTGGGCCACATGTTGCAAAATCTGTTAAAAAAGAAGTAGTTGGGAAGATTTACCTCACTTCCTTATAGTCAAGACCTTGCACCATCCGACTGCTATCTGTTTCAATCGATTACTTCGTTATTTTCATCAAAATGGGGGAAGTTTTTCAGTGCGAAATGCATATAGAATTTTACCATAAAATCTACCATAATTATCAGGTCTTGAGAGGGACATAAGAGTCCGAGTGCTTTTGTATTAATTCCAATCTAGACATATTTAGTATTCTCTTATTCCCCCTGTGTTTGATCGCTCGCATAACAGCTGTTGCTTGTGTTACTCCATCATCCAATATTTGAGGAGGGTTCAACATGATAGTTATCTTTGGATGTTGTTCTTATGAAAATCTTTTTGCCATATTACATGATCTTGAGATCTAATAATAGTTCCAAATAGTTAATTAATTACTACTGACAGTCTAAAAAAAAGTAATTAAACTTTTTCTATCGTCCTGTTTACTTTGTAGGACTATGGGTTTTCCGAAACTTGTCTAATTTTTTTCAAAAACTAATCTTGTCTTAAAGTTATCACGAACATGCCCGCCTCGTAAACAGATAATTGTGGACTGACAGGAGCAAAAGCACAATATTTCCGTCCATAAAATAACAAACATAAGATTTCAGTCTTTTATCGTATGATTGAGAGATTTCCAAAATTTTTTAATTAAAACTTTTCAAGCCTACGATAATTACAATCAAAATGATTACTGGGTTACAAAGCAATAAATGTGTCTGCAAACATTAGTACTTACATATATGCAAAATACTAAATGTTAAATAAATTTTATCACCATTTTGCAAAACATAAAGAAATTTTTGGTTGCCAAAGGCAGCAACTAAATATGCTTGACTGTACAAACGGTTTTTTAAAATAAATTTAAAAAAAGTTTTTTAACACACAAAATTATAAAATATAAATTTTATTATATGATTAACATTTCAAATCACTTAATTAAAAGCTTTTACCTTTAAAACATTTATATAATATAAAAAAAAATCATAGACATTCATAGACTTATTTAACTAAATAAAACAATGAGACCATTAAACTAAAACCATTAAAACTATAAATTTTATATTAATTGTTTAAGTATAATAGGTCACTTTATAAATAAACTTAATATTCATCTTCCCACCAATAGGATTGATTTTCCAAATCACTTTCAATGAAACAATTTTTCATGCGTTTAGCATGAATGGAACTAAGATTTTGTGTAAGACAACCTGATGGCCCCAGCAGGTGCAGAGCAATTTGATCCTGACAATCGAATACCCCATCTTTATTACAATCTTGTTTATTGCGATTATAATACTGACGTATTACAGCCGAGGAACACATAGCATCATTAACACAGGTCAGATAGTCTGCAAAAACCGGACAAATACATATACAATCATTAGAAATTTAGTAAAAAAAACTTTATTTTTTTACTTACCTTGATCTTCGTTACTGGTACTGCCCCCGCTGATAGTTGGTTTACCACTATCAATCCAATATGATTTTGATATTCTAAATATGCCACACGGATTGCCTGAACCACAAAAAGTTGGTTGACATTCGTTTACCGTCATACATAGGCATCTGAAACACACACTGGAGTTAGGAGTCATAGATGTTTCTTTAGGCTCGGAACTTTCTTCGATATCATCCATATTATATTCTTCTGAATATTGATGTGACAAAATTTCTTTAGATTTCATGTGCATTGTATCTTCATCATTATCACTGATATTTTCTTTAATATCATCTACATCATCATCATGATCTTCGTTAATGTTTTCTTCTTTAAATTTATTTTGATCATCATCATAGTCGTCTTCGGGAGATGATGCTTCCAGTATGTTATTGTAAACATCAGTATCATCTTTATCGGTGTCTAAAATTTCTTCAGTTATTTTTACATATTTCGAATCATATTCATCGATCCATGTTGTTGTGTCTAAATTAAACAGATTGTATGTGATATTTTGTTTTAACGAAGTTTTTGTGCGAAAATAAGGAAAACAAATTTAAAATTTGACTAGACATAGACTAGACATAGACATAGACTAGACATAGACTAGACATAGACTAGACATAGACTAGACATAGACTAGACATAGACTAGACATAGACTAGACATAGACTAGACATAGACTAGACATAGACTAGACATAGACTAGACATAGACTAGACATAGACTAGACATAGACTAGACATAGACTAGACATAGACTAGACATAGACTAGACATAGACTAGACATAGACTAGACATAGACTAGACATAGACTAGACATAGACTAGACATAGACTAGACATAGACTAGACATAGACTAGACATAGACTAGACATAGACTAGACATAGACTAGACATAGACTAGACATAGACTAGACATAGACTAGACATAGACTAGACATAGACTAGACATAGACTAGACATAGATAGACATAGACATAGACTAGACATAGACTAGACATAGACTAGACAAATAGACATAGGACTAGACATAGACTAGACATAGACTAGACATAGGACTAGACTAGACATAGACTAGACATAGACTAGACATAGACTAGACATAGACTAGACATAGGACTAGACATAGACTAGACATAGACTAGACATAGACTAGACATAGACTAGACATAGACTAGACATAGACTAGACATTAGACTAGACATAGACTAGACATAGACTAGACATAGACTAGACATAGACTAGACATAGACTAGACATAGACTAGACATAGACTAGACATAGACTAGACATAGACTAGACATAGACTAGACATAGACTAGACATAGACTAGACATAGACTAGACATAGACTAGACATAGACTAGACATAGACTAGGACATAGACTAGACATAGACTAGACATAGACTAGACATAGACTAGACATAGACTAGACATAGACTAGACATAGACTAGACATAGACTAGACATAGACTAGACATAGACTAGACATAGACTAGACATAGACTAGACATAGACTAGACATAGACTAGACATAGACTAGACATAGACTAGACATAGACTAGACATAGACTAGACATAGACTAGACATAGACTAGACATAGACTAGACATAGACTAGACATAGACTAGACATAGACTAGACATAGACTAGACATAGACTAGACATAGACTAGACATAGACTAGACATAGACTAGACATAGACTAGACATAGATTAGACATAGACTAGACATAGACTAGACATAGACTAGACATAGACTAGACATAGACTAGACATAGACTAGACATAGACTAGACATAGACTAGACATAGACTAGACATAGACTAGACATAGACTAGACATAGACTATTTTAAGAAAAAAATAGTCTGAAAAAGTCTATTTAAAGCTGATTAAAGTAAATAAACCAAATTTTCTCAACTCTTTGAAAACAAGTTTCAAGAACTAAAAAACCCGAATATATTGAATATTATATATTATTGAATATTTAAAAAAATGTTGCTCAACTTTTTTAAATTTGAATATAAAAGAATATAAAAATTTATAGAAATGTTTATTCCATTAATCTGAGTTTAATCATTGTGTCCAATGCAGCGAACAGTACTAAGAGAATATGTATGCCGAAAACATTTTCCCAAAACATATAAGATTATATTTTCTTTATGAAAGTTTTCATGGGACCCTCTTGTCGTGTACAGTTTTAAACAGCTGATTGCTGTCGGCCCCTGGTGACTAATGCTGCTGAACTTTGCTCCAGTGTGTGTTTGTTTTTTCTTATTAGTTAATAACTAGCCCCACATGATTTGAAATCACATAAACTGTATTATTTCTTATCAATTTAATAAGCAACAACAAACACTATACTGATATTTAAATTGATATCAATAAATAAGTTTATAGAACTACATACATAAGTATTCTGTAGCTTATTTGAATTTTTAATAAACTATTTCCATATACTAAATAAGATGTATATAAATATTCACCATAATTTTAATATATTCCATTATTTTAATTATTTTATATATTTAAATTTTATAGTTTTTTTTTTTTTGAACATAAAACTTTTTTATAGTTTGTTTTTGTTTTGTGTTTTCTAAAATTTACATACCAACACCACTGGTTGGTTTAACACGATCACGATCTAAATTAAAACTCATGCGGCCCAAATGAGTTTTTTGTCTCCAATGCAAATAGATGGAACCGACAATCAATAAAAACGATATTACTAATGCCGTAATATAAATGCGACGATTTTTCTCTTTATTGAAAGGCATCATTTATATATGTATGTTTATAGAGAGAGATAGATGGATTCTGATGATAAAATTTTATAAAAATAAAAATGCACTTTATTTTGAAAAACAGAAAGACACACGCACGGTTTGTTTCGTACCGGCTGTTAAAATTAGACTGTCTAATGTGAGATGATTTTTTTTCCAATTAAGTTAAAGCATTGTTGTGCTGCGCCTAAAAGATTTCATTTTTGTAGCTGATTAAGTGTTTTTCTGTTCATATTAAGTGATAACCTCTCATTTGTCTCAATGGGGACAGTGATCTTAATGGATGTAATCGTGAGGGAAATAGTAGATTAGTTTGGTGTAAGTAATTGAAAGTATTAAATGTGAATTGGTTAAGAATTATATTCGCGTAATACAGGCTATGAAATTTTCTCGGTTAAAAAATAAAGTAGCAAACGAGTTTGATGGAAATATTTCTCTTTTGAGGTTTATTTAAGAACCTATGTATATAAAAATAGATTTTCGATTTACCAAGATTTTCCATTTTTTCTTAATTTTCTATAACTTTAACGTATTTCGACCTTTTGCAATAAAATCTTAAATAGCAACACTAACACAAAATTTCGCACGACATCTTAGTGCTGGTCTACACTGGAAGACTTTTGTTGAGAATCTTTTTCTTAATTCTCTTTTGAAGTTTCTTGAATGTCTATACATAGAAACTTTTGTTTCAGAAACTACGTATTAATTGCATTGATTTGTGTTTGTACGAATGAGAAGAACAACAAAACAAAACAAGTTTCCGAGTACGAGAAACTCCGTACCACGAGGTACGGAATTTCTCTTTCTCTCTCACGCAAAATCAAAAGTTTCCTAGTGCAAACGGGCACTTAGTGCTGGTTCATACAGGGAAACTTTTTTTGAGAAACTTTTGATTTTGTGTTTGAGAAAAAGAGATCAATAGTTTTCCAAAAAAAGTTTCCCTGTGTGCACCGGCACTAAGCTGTAATTTCTTAAATGGCGTTTAGCGCTTTTAGGGTTTTCAAACAAAACATATTTTTATTTACTTTATAAACAAAATACGCAAAGTAATAAAACCAACAGACATCCTTACATACGTTTTTTTCCAATAAGCAATGTTGTTGTTGCTTTTTTATCAAAGCTTGCAAAAAATTGTGTTTTTGTTATGAAATTTTCAGAGGTTGTCTGGAGTTTTTGCTCATATCTCCGTTATTTATGGACGGATTTAGCTGATTTTAAATAGAAAACTTCTCGAAAGTATTTCTGACAGAATTTTTGAAGTTTTGGATCCCGCAGATATCTGGGGTCTTCAGAAAATTTATTTCAACAGACGGACTGACGGACGGACAGACAGACAGACGGACAGACAGACGGACAGACAGACAGACAGACAGACAGACGGACAGACAGACATGGCTCAATCGACGCCGCTACCTATGAGGATCCATAATATATATATACTTTAAAGGGTCGGAAAATTTTATAATAGAATTTACAAACGGAATGACAAACTTATATATACCCTTCTCATGGGCCCCGGGCATGTTTCATTGATGATAGACCACATCTTGGTGTATTGCATTCCGGGGGAAGAGAGGTGCTATCACTACCTCTAATCTGCCAGGACTATAAACTGGTGTTCACTGCCTGTCCTAGTCTTTGCATGAATTGAAAAGAGGTCTAACTAGAGCACCACATAATCTAGTACTTCGAGTGGCCAGTTGCCCACAAGACTTGTCCTGGCTGCTTAGTTGGTTGAGGTTCCTTCGGCATCCACGTAGTAGCTGTGGTTGAAACCTAAATCGCAGGAAGGGGTGCTTGGTTAAAAGACTGATACACGGTGAAATATAATGTTCATGATATATTTCTGTTATCGCTCCCAGATGCTAGGAGCGGAACAAACTACAGAGCATGACTGTGGATTAATTAAATGTTGGATTTGAGCTGATAATGCAAAGATTAGGTATACGAAAGTGTTGATTGTTGTTGTATTCAAGATTCGATTTAGTCGGATGAATAATTGATGGAATTGATGGAATTGATTCATGATGCTGTTGTATTCGATTTAGTTGGATGGAGTAATTGATGGATTTGACGGAGAGATGTGCTGAACTGAGGTTTGGCAAAACGGAGTATGGTGCGAGGTGTCACTGCCCTTTCTTCGATTTATCGGCGATTTTTCTTCATGTTTAAGTGTTTTAGAGTTTACTCTAAAACATGCTCAAGTTATCACAGTGGATCTTTGTGGCCACTGAAATAAGTCTTGCCTATTAAAATTATCGGTATTTCGGACTACCTATTACGTCCCCTAGGTCCTGTGGCCGAATCAACAGAGCCATCTCAGTAGTTTGGTTGAGCGACAAGGTTTTTTCCTTTGTTGGGGTTAGATTGAGCTTGCTCGTGACACCTGATCCTCCTCAGCGGGACTACTATGACAAGAGATTAGATAGCTCGAGTACTTGAGCAAAGTGCGCGTATAATGGACCGACATCCATATACGTAAATTGCAAGCTGCGTGTAAGAAACACAAAGGGGCGGTGGTGAGTCGTTATATTTTTGCTCGCCCAGTGGATGAAAAAGACCACCATGAGATAGGCCAACACGACAGGTACTCACGTAAAGCACTTCGGCATTCATACCCTTCTCATGAAGGGCATAAAAATTACTTGATGGTTAAAATTTACTAACAAAAACACTAATATAACGATGATATTGTTCATAAATTATTTTAATGTAGACATATAAGGTTAGTAGGCCTCAATATTTCCACTCCTTTAGAAAAATCCCTTTTTTTTGTCAACAAATTATTGAAATATTTCAGAATTAAGGTTAAAATGAAATGCTTTATTATTCAAAAAATAATCAACTCTTTTAAAAAAATCACTGGTGTAGGGTACCATAAGGTCGTCCATATCCGACTATAAATTCTCACTTGTTTCGCACAATAGTGTTGTAGACCATTATGTTGGTAGTGTATGCGTTTGAGCTGATGTTTGTAACTCGCAAAAATATTGGACCTACATCCACTTTAAAGTGTATGTTGCACAGAATCACTTTCTGAGTCGGTTTAGCTATGTCCGTCTGTCGGTCCGTCCATCTGTCTGTGGGTTCATGTAACGCTTGTGCTCACGCTACCGGTCGTAATTTTCAACATAATTTGATGAACTTTAGTAAATACCCTTGTTTTTTGGATCACTAGTTTAAGAACGTAAAACCCAAAAAATCTAATTTTTCTATATTCCTCGCTTTGAGGTAATTTTTGACAATATTTTAGATACATTTTTCAAATGTACAGTAACCAGTAGCAAAATAAAAGGAAGTAAATCATTTAATTTTCTCATATCACTATTATTCACTATATTTCACTATATTGCCTTTAAACCTTGACTTTACTTTCATTCAAGTGAAATACTAAAAATTTACTCATAAATTACTAAGACCTTGTATATTTTTTTTGCAGCTGTACTTCCTCCACCATTACAGTTCAATTCTCAGAAATTTAATCTTTTTCATCCTTTTATATGTATTACAAACCAAAAATACAAATTTCAAACAATATACTCTATAGGAAATTTCTTGGCCAACAGGAAAAAAAAGACTAAATCAAACACACACACACGTAAGCAAATATTAATTTTTTTAATCTTTCCACAAGCTTATCTCGTTGTAGTCGTCGTTTAGTATCATCCATTCTGGTGTGTTAGTTGCTGTTGTGAACATGACTGTGGCGGAAACAATTGTTGTAACTATTCATTCATATGTATGAACACTGCATTGCATGCATTTCATTACTTTCGGACTGCCTTTCTCCTGTACCGCTTAAAACCTCATTCATCCATTAGACCATTTTTCATTTCCGCTAACAAAGCTTTTTTGAAATAAACACATCCTGATTTTCATTCATGAACACAATAAAAGTTGTTAAACTGCTTTATGCCCTCCTCCATAAAAATTCGCTCTTTATCGTACACACTCATATACATATTTATTGACTTTATGGTGGGTAAAACAGAGGATTCCTAGATTATCCGGTTTCGATAAAGAATTTTAAGTTTATCTAGAATTGTTTTACTTGATCACAAGTTAAGTTTCTTTTAAGAGACTTCAAAACTTTTGGCTTTAAATATTTTGAAATTACAATTTTTTGGAGCACTCTAATAGAAGTTTACTACAAATAGTGTCATTCTTCTTTTATTTTGATTTTAACTGGAATAATTAAATTTTAAATTAAAATGAGTAGAAAATGAGACAAAAGCTTTTATGTTACCAATTTACCTACTGGCCAAATAACGACGATGATGATAAGGATGGTGTTGATGATGATGATGCTGATGACATTGTCATACACTGCCATACACCACAAGTATTGTACATTTTCAAGGTTACCAAAAATGAAAAAAGTACAAAAAATTATTGCAAAAAGGAAATATTTATTTTAAGGCTGCATATGTTGGAGTGTGTTTATTTTTAGTCCAACAATTTCCATATTTTCAGCAAGTTTATCAAAATTTGAATATAACCATAAAATATGAATTATTTTGTTCTTTTTTTTTAATTTTAATTTTCTGTTAACAAAATTTTCTACATTTACGCAAAATTTTGTGTGTGTGTGTGTATGTTTGCATATTTATTTAAATATTAATAATAATTTCAAACACCTTGTCAATGTTTATGCAAATTTTGTACTCTCACACACAGAGAGAGAGTGTTTCCCGGTGTCGTTGCTGAGTCTGGAATATGGTTATTTCATTATAACCAAAAAATAATAATAATTATGTTAATTAAATTACAGCTGATTAAAATATTAATTAAAAAACATACGGATGAAAAAGCATTTTTACATATTTTGATGTTAGGAATAATTAACAACTACAAAAAAAAGGAAAAACAGCAAAATTTACAAAATATTAATGTTTGGGAGAAATGAAAACATCATTTGAAAAGTTATCATTTTAATAAAGTTGTAAACCAGAAGAATATATCTTATTTGGCAGTAATTAAGTTTCCTACCAGAAAACATTAAGTAGAAAATACTTTAATCGGCTTATCTGATAAAATAAACGAAATACTTTACAAAGGAGGGAAATCGTTTTTCACAAAAATTTAAATTTTGATAAAATAGTGGAAAAGGTTGTTATTATGATATAATTAGAATTTAAAAATAAATCTGGTATGGAGGAAAAAACCCTGAAGACAAATTGTAACATAAATACTCTTCCAAATATTGTTCCATCATATATTTAGGTATCAAGCCACTCAGCTATCATTCAGCTAAAATTGAATCTGGCCATTGAATTAATCTTTCACGATATCCTATTCCAACCGTGACTCTTCGCTATAAATATCTTACGATGAGTCGAAAAGAGTCTGGACACAATCGTCTTTATGGATGTAGAAGAGTACTAAGAATGGTTCGCAAATGAACATATTTTAAACTATTTTCAATAGGTTCATTGGTTAAGAAAGGAGTATGCGGGAAATTTCATCAAAATTAATCTTGAAAATTGCGAACTGTACGTGGCCACATGGAATAATACAGACGGATAGACAGACAGATGCGGAAAGACAGATAGACAGACATAGATGATAGAATAGATAGATAGATAAGATAGATAGATAGATAGATATAGATAGATAGATATAGATAGATAGATAGATAGATAGATAGATGAAGATAGATAGATCGATAGATAGATAGATAATAGATAAAGATAGATATAGAAGTAGATAGCTGTAGATGATATAGATAGATAGATAGATTAGATAGATAGATAGATATAGATAGATGATAGATAGATGATAGATAATAGAGATAGAAGATAATAATAGTAGTAGAAGATAATAGATAGATAGAAGAAGATAGATAGATATATAGATCTCGCTGCTCGATAGCTCGCTCGATCCTCGCTAGATCGATCTCTCGCTAGTCTCGCTCGCTCGCTCTCGCTCGCTCGCTCGCTCGCTCGCTCGCTCGCTCGCTCTCGCTAGCTCTCGCTCGCTCGCTCGCTAGCTCGCTCTCGCTCGCTCCTCGCTCGCTCGCTCGCTCGCTCGCTCGCTCGCTCGCTCGCTCGCTCTCTCTCTCGCTCGCTCGTCGCTCGCTCGCTCGCTCGCTCGCTCGCTCGCTCGCTCGCTCGCTCGCTCGCTCGCTCGCTCTCTCGCTCGCTCGCTCGCTCGCTCGCTCGCTGCTCGCTCTCTCGCTCGCTCGCTCGCTCGCTCGCTCGCTCGCTCGCTCGCTCGCTCGTCGCTCGCTCGCTCGCTCGCTCGCTCGCTCGCTCGCTCTCGCTCGCTCGCTCGCTCGCTCGCTCGCTCCTCGCTCGCTCGCTCGCTCGCTCGCTCGCTCGCTCTCGCTCGCTCGCTCGCTCGCTCGCTCGCTCCTCCGCTCGCTCGCTCGCTCGCTCGCTCGCTCGCTCGCTCGCTCGCTCGCTCGCTGCCGCTCGCTCGCTCGCTCCTCGCTCGCTCGCTCGCTCGCTCGCTCGCTCGCTCGCTCGCTCGCTCGCTCGCTCGCTCGCTCGCTCGCTCGCTCGCTCGCTCGCTCGCTCTCGCTCGCTCGCTCGCTCGCTCGCTCGCTCGCTCTGCTCGCTCGCTCGCTCGCTCGCTCGCTCGCTCGCTCGCTCGCTCGCTCGCTCGCTCGCTCGCTCGCTCGCTCGCTCGCTCCGCTTCCGTTGCATTAGCTCCCCTACCTTAATTTGATGTTATTGCAGATATTGTATTCCTCAGAAACACTGATTGGAACTTTCTAAGGTAAGGAATAACGTGATCATTCATATTTTTAACCAATAGTCGATTTTGTAAAAGTCTGTTGTTCCCCAAATAACGCTCCAATCGAGAAAATAGTAAGAAAGTGTTTAGTTTTTTAAAAAACGCTCAATGAATGACTCCGAATCCGTTGTACTTGTAGCTTAGGAAAGTAGGCCTAATCAGTTGGTTACTTTTTTTTGCAGATAGAGGATATCCAAGATTGCTATGCACAAGGCGGTCATGGGGGACTGTTACTCCACCCGTTTACTAGAGCCTTTTAATTTTGTAATTTTGTAAAATTGCTCAATAAATTGCTCCTCACCAATGCGTGATCTAATAAAGTAGTTCGATTCTTATCTTAACTATTCCAAAAAGCTGATTTTTGATATCTTTCTGCCAGAATTTTCTAGAATTATTCTAAAGTTGGTATTTTTTCACCAAAAAACGATATTTTATGAAAACATATAATTGTCTCAATGCTTCAAATCGATAAAAAGCCAAACATAGATATTGATATGAATGATTCGCTCTAGTTTCTCTCTGGTTCCAAATCGAGAAAATACTTAAAATATGTGTACATTCCCATTAAAAATCAAAAAACTCTCAGATCGAGATAATATTGTGTTCACTCATGTTTCTTCTGCTGTTAACATAATATAATTAATTTTAACCAACATAAATTCATTTTTATAATGTTCTTTTTAGGAAATTGGATATTTAATGTTAATAGTTATTGCTTTTATATTAAAATTTTATAAATATTTTTTTTTTTATTTTCTCATTTTAGTATATTGGCCAACAAACAAACAAACATGAATGTTTAAAACTACAACTACCATCACTTCAAAACAACAATATAAACCACCGATAAATAGGACCAACCAACAACAAAAACTTTTCCATATATTATAGATGAAAATAAATTCCATTTTCCTACTTTATAACTATTATTGTTATTTTTGCTATTGCTGCTGTTGTGGTTGCTTCGGCTACTGATGCTATTAAAGTTGTATAAAGTAGTAGTTCTGTATAAAATATCGAACTGCCCAGTTATGGCCACTTGTTTTGCTCCAAAATAGGCAATTATATTTACATCACAACACATCACATTGGAAAACTAACCAAAAGGCAATTTGGAGAGACCATTGAATACAACCCAAATCGAAGGAAACTTAAAACAAAAACTAAAGTGAAGTGAAGAGGAAAGAAGTGGTAGGATTTAGAAAACTCCTCGTATAAAGGGTGGGAAAAGTTGTATGGCAATATTTACGTCAAAGTTAAAACCACTTGACTAACACTCAGTCAAAGCAACACAAACGCATAACTCTACATATACACATGGAACATACATACATTGAAACATATACATATGTGTGTATCTAATGGACTGTAGGTGGAACCAAACAATAAATTAATACTTTTTTCACAGTGAAATAGAAAGAAACCAAAGAGGAAAAACAAAGAGTAGAAAACTTTTTACTTCAAACAGGAAATTTTCTACAATAAAGACAATAGCTCTACTATATATTCCCAACTGATACATGAATTTAGAACTAAAAGTTGGAAACTTGTATAAAATAAAACAACCACCAGCAAAACAACAACAAAAACTAAACAAAATATACAACTACAGCAGTTTTATTTCATTCTATGTCGGTCTGGACGGATGTCAATATGATTCGTTGCAAAAATTGGTTTTGCGCCCGCAGCAATAACAATGACTATGCGGAGGTTCTATTTGGTGATAGCAAAACCACAACACAAACTACAGCCGTAACAACGGACACAACAACCACATCCAACCTGGTGCGGCAACAACAGCCGGCAAATGGTAAACTAAGTGGAGCAGCAACAACGATTGCTAATAACACAACTGCAACACATACAATGCATAACAATATAGCAGCAGCAGCAGCAACATCTAATACAACATCCACTGCCGGAACAACGGCCAGTACAACTAGTGTTAGCAATAGTTGTAGTGGCACGGCAGGTGCTGGCCCTAATGCTAATTCAGCGGCTGCTGGTTCACATGTTGTTACGTTTTTGGATGATGTGCCAAGTGGTAGTAATGGTGTTGTTAACACTACCACACGTTTAATGAACAATACAGATCTACAACAACAACAACAGCATTATTATGATCATCATACATCGGATGATTTGGATGCCTTAGATACGGATGATTTTTTAGCCAATCATGTTGTCAGCTCGGCCATGCTGTGCGATGATACTCTACCAACTTCGAAAAATTGTTATCGTCTTGTGATATTGGGGTAAGTTGAATGCATTTTAATATTTTGTATGACTACTTTCTTAAATAATACATATTTATATTGGACAAGTTTAAAAACCAAAATATAGAAAAACGTAAAATGTATGTAACCAGCAGGGAAGGAGGATTCCAAAAATTATATGAAGCCACATTTGGTCCAAAAGAAAATTAAACGACAATGTTTGGCATATCTCTTCTAATTGTAGTCATAGCTTCTAAACTGACGTTTTAATTGGTGTTGTCATAGAATCTAATAATTACACAGGCCGACAAATTTTCAACCCAGGATTAAGCCACGCCGAATTTCTCCATCACATCAGGGATTTGATATATCGTGTCCTGAAGTTAGAAAAAATCAAACGCAATTTTTGGCTCTATTTGAGACATTTTAAATGTTCGAAGACAACTTTATTTATAAAATGTTATATGCCATCTGAAAGTCCACTCTATAAGCTTTAAAATAACATCTGACATATCTTCTTTCCTCTTCGAGGTACATATATTCACCTAAATCTTGATATAACAATAAATTGACAAAACATCTATTTTTTTACATTTTGCAAAAAAAAACTTAATACAATTTTTTTCTTATGAAAATACTTTTCGAAATGTTTTAAAATCTGTTGTAGTTGCTGAGATATTATCCGTTGAAGTTCACGGATGGACAGATATCCTTAAGTCGATTGGAACATCATCAAATAGGTGTGGATCCTTTATTTTTGCTCGTTATAAACAATATTTACAAAACATAATACCCTCCGCACTATATATAATAGTGCAGGGTTTAAAAACCATGTTTCAAGCTTAGGTGAAGATATCTCGAAAAAGAAAGAAGATATGTCAGATGTTAAGCCTTTATTTTAGAGTTAATAAAATTATTTTGACGTTATTATAACGTCTCAAAAAGAGCCAAAAATTGCGTTTTCTAAAATTTCAGGACACGATATCTCAAACCCCAGATGTAATGGAGAAAATCTAAGTCTGATTCGGATTCAGTTTCCTACCATTGATTGAAAATCTTGATCTCAGTACAATATGGTAAAACAAGTAAAAAAGTATAGTCGGACGTGGCCGACCATATGATACACTACACCAGTTATGAGTATATCTAAAATGTTTATTATTTTTAATAATATAGCATTTATGTTTAATTTTTCCTTAATTTCGACATATTTTTGATGAAAAATTATTTTTATATGGAGACTAAATATGGGGGCTAGGGTCAATTATGAACCGATCCTAACAAAATTTGATGGAGGGATGTTTATTGACATTAAAGTTAATTAATTTCATTGTAATACACGTGTTTACATATAAGGGAATTAACGACGTTCAAGCATTTTCAGAGGGGGGCTAGGGTTAAATAAAGGGCCGCTCATTACGAAATTTTGCAGTATCATTTGTAGTGGTATTAATCATTGTTGTGCATATTTTTGTAGGCATATTAGTATAGTTGGAGTAAAATTAATTTCATCCAATTATCTTCAAAATTGCGATCTGTAGTTTGATTACAAGGTTTACATTGACAGACAGGAAGATAGAAAGTCAGACAAACAGACAGACAGGCAGACAGGCAGACAGACATACAGACAGACAGACAGACAGACAGACAGACAGACAGACAGACAGACAGACAGACAGACGGACAGGACGGATATGGTTTAATCGACTCAGAAAATGATTCTGAGCCGATTGGTATACTTAAAGGTGGACAAATGACCAAATTCTCCAAAAAATTTCATTGGTTTTATGATAATACTCTTCATGGTCATGGTTTCTTAATTATGTGGAAATCGGTTCATAATTGGCTCAAGCCCTCATTCAAGGACATTTTTCGAAAATTGCCCTTATATTTGACTAAGTATAATAAATAAATGAGTAAATCGTGATAGTGAATAACAAAAAAGATCAATTGTTAATTGTTCTATTTTGCTATTTTTAAAAGTATAATGCACTTTGATAATCTAATAAGTACAAAGTTAATATGGTTTTATGAAAGCTAAACGTAATTAAACGTTTTTTTTTTTTTCAATTTAAATCTTCATAAATGGAAAAGAAGACTAAAAATATCAAATGTTAAGGTCATTTTCTATGTGAAAGTATTAAACTTAAATTGAGCATTCTGATATAAAACATTAATTTTTATTAATTAAAAAAGGATGGTGTATATTGACTTTGTCATTGCGTTTGTAATACATCGCAATGCCCACAAAAGTAACTTATTCTGATTTCTTATTCGATTCGAAGTCTATATAATAACAAATTTTATAGGAACTTAAATCTCACTAATAAAGGTTAGGTCGAAATCTATCTGCCAAGTTTTATGAGAATCGGTTTATAACTGACACGTTCTTCTATATAAAATCCCCTCAAAAAATTACTTAACCCTTTTGGTTTAATTTTTGTTCTTGATAATACCCTCAAGCTGTAAATCGAGGGGAGTTAGGCCAAGATACATAAATTTCCATCACTTCCAATATCTGTTCTTTTCTTTCTAATCTGTTAAGTAGACTTTATTTACTTTAGTTAATTAATTAATTGAACAATTAAAAAAATACACTGTAATTCATATAAAGCAATTAACTGATTATGTTTTATTTTTATTTTTTGCTCATCTCTTTTCGTTCAATCAACTTGCTCGATATAAAAAGTCTTAAAGACAAATAACATAAATCTTGCCATCGCCACACCAAACCGAACATAAAATGTCTAAAAGAAAAGACACAAATGTCTCTTATTTTACCTTTTCCTACAACAAAAAGGAAGGAAGGTAAAAATCTATACAGAGAAAAAAAAAAATGTGATAAAATGTAATGTTTTATCTTATAGAAAACACACATACGGGAATACAAGTACAAGGATGCGTTTATTTCCTCGTTCTCCTTTTCCGAAATACAAATTGTTGTTGTTGCCATTTTACCATAGAAATTCATGAGTAAGAGTATTTGCTGATATGAGCAGAAAAACACCGACAATTATCATTCAAGTGAATTTATATTTTTTCACACTTGTAATTATGAAATTAGACTTAATTTTATGTTGGAGATTTAATTAATTTTCATAATCTTCTATGAGAGTAGCACGTGTGAGCAATACATATGTACATACATGTATGTATATACTTTCCTTTCCAAAAACATGTTTGTGCATGTGTGTAGGTGGTATATATTTCTGAATAGGAATAAAATTTAATCACGTCTTTACATTTAATTAACAATACGTTTTAATTGGTTATAATATTTGTCTAGATGTGTTCGTAATAAAAAGATGATTATTTGAGTACGAGAGGTAGATTATTCTAATAAAACAGGACTTCAAAGGAATTGTATCTATTATCTTAAGTTGTTTAGTGTAGGAAGGTGTGCTCAAGCTAAGAAATAATTTTCGTAATAATTTTTTAAATTACTAATTATGCAACTAATACAACATGTTCTTGAAATAGTTGTACTACTACGATTATTTTAATGTCATATGTCTGTCTGTAATCTACCTTTATTAAATAAATGATGTGTTTTTTTCATACTTTTGTTGTTCTTTTTGTTTTATTGCAGTTCTTCACGTGTGGGTAAATCATCCATAGTGGCACGTTTTTTGGGTAATCGTTTTGACGAAGCGTATACACCAACTATTGAAGATTTTCATCGTAAATTATATCGTATACGAAATGAGGTCTATCAATTAGATATTCTAGACACATCTGGTCATCATCCTTTTCCAGCAATGCGTCGTTTATCCTTTCTGACGGGTAAGTGGTCAGACGTGTAAATGTGTTTAAAATTTATGTATGTTTGTCTATGTGTAATAAGTAGAAATATAAAGCAGACATACAGATGTACTTATTTATGTATGTATGTAGACAGATACATATTTTGTTATGATAATCAGGGAAACCGGAAAATGACTAACTTACTAACTTACTAACATACTAACTTACTAACTTACTAACTTACTAACTTACTAACTTACTAACATACTTACTTACTAACTTACTAACTTACTAACTTACAAACTTACAAACTTACAAACATACAAACTTACTAACTTACTAAATTACTAACTTACTAACTTACTAACTTACATACTAACTTACAAACTTACTAACTTACTAACTTACTAACTTACTAACTTACTAACTTACTAACTTACTAACTTATTAACTTACTAACTTACTAACTTACTAACTTACTAACTTATTAACTTACTAACTTACTGACTTACTAACTTATTAACTTACTAACTTACTTACTTACTAACTTACTAACTTACTAACTAACTTACTAGCTTACTAACTTACTAACTAACTTACTAACATACTAAATTACCAACTTATTAACTTACTAATTTTTTAACACCAGCATTTTTGTTAATGTTGATCATGAGTTATGTTTTGTATGGATATTACCGGTTACCCTGATTTTATGAGTCTAAAACAAATGCGCATAATAATATTATAGACCTAAAACATAAATCTACAACATTAAATTACTTATGATTATGAATATACATTTTGATGAATTTAATAAAAATGTTTTCTCACATTTTTGTAATTTTATGAAAATACATAAAGAAAATTAGAACAATTTATTCAATGGTCTCCTTAGAGTGCATTTTATTATCATCATATTATTATGATTTTGTCTTTAACAACAGTAATATCTTTGTGCTCTGAGTAAATGATTTTGACAGGCGTAGTACATCTACAACTGGACACAAAGAGAAAACTTACGGCCCAATGATAGATAGATAAATAATTATGTAAAGAATCTTAAATTTAGATTCTTAAGTAAACCAGGCTCTGAAAATCCTTGTATCCATAGGCTAGTCATAGATAGTTTGTACGACAATCACAAATTTATTGTGGATCAAACAGTGGAACTGGGCCCACAAAGTTTTCCATAAATATATTTGCATTGTATGTATGATGAACTTAAAATGAAAGTAAAAAAATTTGGAAATGGCTAAAACACAATCTTAAAGTCAATGGCCAATAATTGTATGATGTATCAGAGTACATACATAATCATTATCAACAAATCGTAATTCTATTTACTAACTTAATTTTGTTACATACACACAAGTCGGCCACATGTCTTCGGGCATCATCATATGTACAAATATTTGTCCATCTGTTTAATTTTCTTTTTACAATCTTCTCATACTTTAAATTCAATTCGTTATTTTTTTCGTTTTAGGATGTTTAAGTACGAGAGTATTTATATTGCCAATTTGTTGTTTGATGTTTTATCTTATTTTTTTGTAAGATCTGTTTATTTCTTTACTTGAGCACTCAGAGATGGGAAATATATAGATAATTTTTGATAATTTTAAAATTTTAATGAAATTGACAGACTATTATACAGCAGTTTAATTTATCTAATGATTTCAGGTGCTAACTAGCACAGAACTAGAACTGAACTAGAACTGATGTAGAACTGAACTAGAACTGACCTAGAACTGAACTAGAACTGAACTAGAACTGAACTAGAACAGAACTAGAACTGAACTAGAACTGACCTAGAACTGACCTAGAACTGACCTAGAACTGACCTAGAACTGAACTAGAACTGAACTAGAACTGAACTAGAACTGAACTAGAACTGAACTAGAACTGAACTAGAACTGAACTAGAACTGAACTAGAACTGAACTAGAACTGAACTAGAACTGAACTAGAACTGAACTAGAACTGAACTAGAACTGAACTAGAACTGAACTAGAACTGAACTAGAACTGAACTAGAACTGAACTAGAACTGAACTAGAACTGAACTAGAACTGAACTAGAACTGAACTAGAACTGAACTAGAACTGAACTAGAACTGAACTAGAACTGAACTAGAACTGAACTAGAACTGAACTAGAACTGAACTAGAACTGAACTAGAACTGAACTAGAACTGAACTAGAACTGAACTAGAACTGAACTAGAACTGAACTAGAACTGAACTAGAACTGAACTAGAACTGAACTAGAACTGAACTAGAACTGAACTAGAACTGAACTAGAACTGAACTAGAACTGAACTAGAACTGAACTAGAACTGAACTAGAACTGAACTAGAACTGAACTAGAACTGAACTAGAACTGAACTAGAACTGAACTAGAACTGAACTAGAACTGAACTAGAACTGAACTAGAACTGAACTAGAACTGAACTAGAACTGAACTAGAACTGAACTAGAACTGAACTAGAACTGAACTAGAACTGAACTAGAACTGAACTAGAACTGAACTAGAACTGAACTAGAACTGAACTAGAACTGAACTAGAACTGAACTAGAACTGAACTAGAACTGAACTAGAACTGAACTAGAACTGAACTAGAACTGAACTAGAACTGAACTAGAACTGAACTAGAACTGAACTAGAACTGAACTAGAACTGAACTAGAACTGAACTAGAACTGAACTAGAACTGAACTAGAACTGAACTAGAACTGAACTAGAACTGAACTAGAACTGAACTAGAACTGAACTAGAACTGAACTAGAACTGAACTAGAACTGAACTAGAACTGAACTAGAACTGAACTAGAACTGAACTAGAACTGAACTAGAACTGAACTAGAACTGAACTAGAACTGAACTAGAACTGAACTAGAACTGAACTAGAACTGAACTAGAACTGAACTAGAACTGAACTAGAACTGAACTAGAACTGAAAAAAAACTAACTGAGAACTGAACTAGAACTGAACTAGAACTGAACTAGAACTAAACTAGAACTGAACTAGAACTGAACTAGAACTGAACTAGAACTGAACTAGAACTGAACTAGAACTGAACTAGAACTGAACTAGAACTGAACTAGAACTGAACTAGAACTGAACTAGAACTGAACTATAACTGAACTAGAACTGAACTTAACTGAACTAGAACTGAACTAGAACTGAACTAGAACTGAACTAGAACTGAACTAGAACTGAACTAGAACTGAACTAGAACTGAACTAGAACTGAACTAGAACTGAACTACTAGAACTGAACTAGAACTGAACTAGAACTGAACTAGAACTGAACTAGAACTGAACTAGAACTGAACTAGAACTGAACTAGAACTGAACTAGAACTGAACTAGAACTGAACTAGAACTGAACTAGAACTGAACTAGAACTGAACTAGAACTGAACTAGAACTGAACTAACTAGAACTGAACTAGAACTGAACTAGAACTGAACTAGAACTGAACTAGAACTGAACTAGAACTGAACTAGAACTGAACTAGAACTGAACTAGAACTGAACTAGAACTGAACTAGAACTGAACTAGAACTGACTAGAACTGAACTAGAACTGAACTAGAACTGAACTAGAACTGAACTAGAACTGAACTAGAACTGAACTAGAACTGAACTAGAACTGAACTAGAACTGAACTAGAACTGAACTAGAACTGAACTAGAACTGAACTAGAACTGAACTAGAACTGAACTAGAACTGAACTAGAACTGAACTAGAACTGAACTAGAACTTAACTAAACTGAACTGAACTAGAACTGAACTAGAACTGAACTAGAACTGAACTAGAACTGAACTAGAACTGAACTAGAACTGAACTAGAACTGAACTAGAACTGAACTAGAACTGAACTAGAACTGAACTAGAACTGAACTAGAACTGAACTAGAACTGACTACTAGAACTGAACTAGAACTGAACTAGAACTGAACTAGAACTGAACTAGAACTGAACTAGAACTGAACTAGAACTGAACTAGAACTGAACTAGAACTGAACTAGAACTGAACTAGAACTGAACTAGAACTGAACTAGAACTGAACTAGAACTGAACTAGAACTGAACTAGAACTGAACTAGAACTGAACTAGAACTGAACTAGAACTGAACTAGAACTGAACTAGAACTGAACTAGAACTGAACTAGAACTGAACTAGAACTGAACTAGAACTGAACTAGAACTGAACTAGAACTGAACTAGAACTGAACTAGAACTGAACTAGAACTGAACTAGAACTGAACTAGAACTGAACTAGAACTGAACTAGAATTGAACTAGAACTGAACTAGAACTGAACTAGAACTGAACTAGAACTAGAACTGAACTAGAACTGAACTAGAACTGAACTAGAACTGAACTAGAACTGAACTAGAACTGAACTAGAACTGAACTAGAACTAGAACTGAACTAGAACTGAACTAGAACTGAACTAGAACTGAACTAGAACTGAACTAGAACTGAACTAGAACTGAACTAGAACTGAACTAGAACTGAACTAGAACTGAACTAGAACTGAACTGAACTGAACTAGAACTGAACTAGAACTGAACTAGAACTGAACTAGAACTGAACTAGAACTGAACTAGAACTGAACTAGAACTGAACTAGAACTGAACTAGAACTGAACTAGAACTGAACTAAACTGAACTAGAACTGAACTAGAACTGAACTAGAACTGAACTAGAACTGAACTAGAACTGAACTAGAACTGAACTAGAACTGAACTAGAACTGAACTAGAACTGAACTAGAACTGAACTAGAACTGAACTAGAACTGAACTAGAACTGAACTAGAACTGAACTAGAACTGAACTAGAACTGAACTAGAACTGAACTAGAACTGAACTAGAACTGAACTAGAACTGAACTAGAACTGAACTAGAACTGAACTAGAACTGAACTGGAACTGACTGGAACTAGAACTGAACTAGAACTGAACTAGAACTGAACTAGAACTGAACTAGAATCGAACTTTTTATATTAATAGGAACCTTAAAATCTAAATACAATCTAATACAACCTTAAAATCTAAATATTTTTGTTTCCATTCCTGAACTTTTATTACATTACATACATACATATGTATGTATGTACATTACATACACATATTTAGCCGGCACAAAATGCTTGCGATTTGTTTGAGTCAGCGCCTAAATGTATACACGTTGTATGTTTAAGATGTTTCTGGGCTTCAATAGAATAAAGAAATAAATCGTGGAGAGAGAGAAAATAACAATGACAAAAACCTTGAATGAAACCCAATTTATATTCTATATATTTTTGTCCATTATTGCTGTGACAATAAAGTAACGAAAAAAATAAATGTCACAATGAAAATATTTTTTTTTATAAAGGGGCAAATTGATAAGTTGCTAGGAAATCATTTTATTTGTATGTATAATGATTTTTGTTGTAAAAAAATATTTTTTATTTTACTATACTTTAATTAAGTTCAATTCAATTTATAGGAATATTTTGATTACCTTTGCAATTGACCCACTCTCTGACATCTCTGTCTTCATCTAAGCTTGTTTGTTTCCCATTTAGATGTCTTGTTGTCTTGTCTTATTTACACATCAGAGTCTTGTTTATTTGTCTTTCTGTGTTTGTTGGACCCTCTTCTTTTCAATTCCGTTTTGAATCTTAGGGAATTTTTTGCCATTTCTTTTTTAAATTGCCGCTCTTATCCGTTTTTTTTTGGCAACATACTTACTTGACTATATGCCAAATAACAGCAAAATACTTTGCAACATTTTCTTGCCGATTATATGATTGCGTATATGTATCCCACTGCTATGATTGTCAATATGGAACCGCCATCATTGCTTCCATTTTTTTGTGCTTTTTCAATATTTTTTTCTTTGCACATTGTCCTTTGACAGTTACCTAAGTGATTTTTTTTTTGTTATCCTTTTTTTTTTTTTTGTGTGTGTTTTCTGCCAAGATTTGCATTTATATGTATGTATTTCTAACATATAAATTGCTTATGTTGTCATTTTTTTAACATTTACTTTTGATTTGATATCTTACGTGTATGTGTGCGTGCTTTTATAGGGCTACAAAAATATTATCTTAACCGAGTTGTCAGTGGCAACAGAAAAGTTAAATACATATGTTCATGGAATTGCAATTATAGAAGTAAGTTATAAGGTTTAGATTTATTTTAGGAAATACTTATGAAGAATATTTCTTTAATAGGAATTAAGTTTGGTATTTATTCTTTACAAATTATTGAAATATTTTAAGTGAAGGGATATCTAAAAAATTAGTTAGTTAATGTTTGACCTTTTTAACTGTTATGGATTAAGTTCTTAAAATGTATATTTCTTTTATTTGCACAATGGGGGGGGGGAATCTGAAATATTTCTGACGTTTTCAAATTTCCTTTAGTTATTATCACGTTTTTATTGCATTCGTACTGCAAATACAAATGTGAACAAATAAGAAAGTATAGTCGGGAGTGACGTGGATTTCTGTTGGAATAATGGTTTTTAACCATTTTCAATAGGCTTTGTCCTTGGACCAAAAAAATGTACGTGCAAAAGTTTATCCTATTATCTTGCGACATGGACAGCTAGTCAGACGGACATGGCTTAATCGACTCAGAAAATGATTCTAAGCAGACTGGCATACTTTAAGGTGGGTATAGTTTGAATAATTGTGTGCGTTACAAACATCAGCACAAACCCAATATACCCTCCCCACTATAGTGCTGTAGGGAATCATACCAACAGATTGTACATAATCGGGTAGTACGGTTGTGTGGGGCAAGGTAAAATAATTAACCGATTTCCAATATTTTCTATGGGCTTCGTTAAGACAATAGCATGTGCCAAATTTCATCAAATTATTTTGAAAATTGCGACCTGTAGCGTTAGCACAAAGTTTACATGGACACACAGATGGACAGGCAGATAGAAGGACAGACAGACAAACAAACAAACAAACAAACAAACAAACAAACAAACAAACAAACAAACAAACAAACAAACAAACAAACAAACAAACAAACAAACAAACAAACAAACAGACAGACAGACAGACGGACATAGTTTAATCGAATCTGAGCCAATTGGTATACATTAAGGTGGGTGTAGGAACAATATTTTTGGATGTAACAAACATCATCACATAATCACAAATCATCGCATAATACTCTCCCCATACACACACAAAAACAGTCATAAGTTTTTTTCATTGTTACAGGCGATATCTTCATATTGGTGTTCAGCATGGATTCTCGGGAATCTTTCGAAGAAGTTGTACGTCTCAGAGAAAATATTCTAGAAACAAAATGGGCAGCTCTTAATCCTGGTTCAGGTTTCAAAAAGAAGGCTTTACCCAAAATACCCATGATTTTGGCGGGTAATAAATGTGATAAAGAACAAAGGTAAGTGGGAAAACAATAGTCCAAACTAAAATATTACAACAATACAATCTTATAGAACCGTTCAACTAGACGAAATAATGGGTTATATAGCGGGACAAGATAATTGTTGTGTCTTTGTCGAGTGTTCAGCTAAGCAAAACTTTCGTATAGATGATTTATTTTATGCACTCTTTACCGCCTCTAATCTACCACTTGAAATGGCACCTAATCATCATCGTAGGGTGGTAACCGTATTTGGAGCACCCTCACCATTACCACCACACTCCTCGACAGGAGGTTCCAAAAAGAATGCTCTCTCCATAAAACGACGTTTTAGTGATGCCTGCGGTGTGGTAACACCCAATGCACGACGGCCCAGCATACGAACCGATTTAAATTTAATGCGCTCAAAAACCATGCAAATGAATGAAGGTGATGGCAGTGTGGCACGTAAAAAATGTGTAATTATGTAAATTTTTATTGAAACATAAAATAAACACACACAAAAACCTAAACAAATTACATAAAATAATATAAATTAATATTTCCATATTGTGATAGTAGTTGAACAGAAAAACCAAAAAAGAATAATAAAAAAACATAAATAAACATAAATTTAATAACTGATAAATATTTATACATTAATACTTACATACGTTATAATATAACAACTATTTATACATACAATTTAATAATAAATTTAATACATCAAATATTGTTATTTTTCTATGAGGTTAAATATTATTATAGTCAAATCTTTAGTATAAATAATTAATGAGATTTATGTTAAAACATTTTTTTTATTAACGAATAAAAGCAAATAATTAAAATACATACAAACAAGTATTTGTTTAAAATATGTTAATTTATAATTTTATTTTTGTTACATTTTTTATATGTATTGTTTAAATAACAATTTGTTGATTTTTATAATATTTATATAAAATTAATAAGATTAATATTCATAGTTATTTAACGTTAAAAGAGGAGAATAATTGTTATATCAAATAGAGGCAAGGATTAAATTAAATTGAAAGTACACCATTTCCCAGGGTTAAATGTCGAAAGTTTTTAACTTTTCAAAATGTTATTCGTTTAATTATTCTATAGTTTTCTTTAAACTTTTTTTTACAAATGAAATATTTCTCTCAACTAGTGCCATTGGATAATTTACAGTTCCTTCTATAAACGTGTCAGTAGTCCAGAGTATAGACGAAACTCTACTACGGTTTAAAGACGACACAATTATACTTAGACTCTTTGCTATAGACGAACCTTTTTTCCACGCTGTAGGCGAAACTTCAAATCAAACTATTGTCCAGACTATAACCATGACTATACATCAGACTATGGTCCAAAATGTTAACAAGGCTATATTGCAGACTGTGGATAAGACCTTTATTTCTCGTGCTCAAATTTTCTATTAAAAAAGTGGGCGTGTTATTTTGATCCCATACAAATTGATGCAGTTGGTCTGCTTTCAAGTTATTGTTTTTTATTTTACTCAAGAATAACAAAATTAGCATTAACATACGAAGTGGGCGTGGACATGATGTAACATCCGCCTTTTTTGGTGGGCTGGTTCTAACTCTTATTGTGAACATACATACGTGATACATATGTATGTCATAAAAAACCAAAAAACCGTTTTTGGTCTTTTATACCGTCCCATATTAGGGACCTAGGTGTCTGTCATTTTGTGAGGTTCATATCTTGCAAACCATTCGGAATTTTGATTTATACTCTGAGGCTTAAAGAACAAAAATTATGAAAATATACAATCGTAAAAACGTCGTCTTCATCTTCTCATTTCAAGTGGAAAATTTTACCTTGTGAAATAGCATTGTTTTTATTGACGACACCTGTACGTATACGTGTTAATGATTTATCGATATTACAAATATTAAGTATACGCCAAATTTAGAGAAACACTTCAAAGTTTTTTGCGATTTTGAACGTGAAGATGAATCGTAAGTTTGGTACATCCTCAATTTTTTTACGGAATTAAATACAAATATAAACATTTTAACAAATTCTGTGAGAATTGATAATTTTGGATCTAGTAGTACCATTCTAAACCTTTCGATTATCATTGGATTGGGGTATCATATGGTCGGAATGCCGGACTATAATTTTTCACTTTTTAGTTCAGGCTTTAGAGTATAAAAAGTTTTCCTTTTTCTAGTCTTATTTTCCAAACGTTTTATCCTTTTCTGGCCTTTTCTAAAGTCCAATTTGGCGTTTTTTCCTGAAGCTCCTGAACTATAGTGTCATCTATAGTGTCATCTTAAGAGTTCAGTCTTAACCTCTGTCTGTAAGTGAGATTAAAGTCCAGTCTTTACTTTAGATAATGCTCAACAATCATTGATGACATTGCCGAATTTCGTAACGATCGGGTCTCATACAAAGTTCCCTTCAGAAAACAACATAAATATATCCATCAAATTTCATATTTGCATCTAGGCCCCCATTATTACTGTCATAACTGGTGTCGGGTATCATATGGTCGTCCAAGCCCGACTATACTTTCTTCTCTGTTTGATTTGGAAATGGTGTACTAGAGTATTTTATTAAATAGTTTTTTATTGAAGCAAACGTACTTAAAAAAAATAATTAAAACATTTGTTTTAATAATTTCATAAAACGCGCTTAAAGCAATAATTAAAATAAAAAAAATTTAAAAATATATAAAAATATGAAACAATAAAACTTTTTCGGAAATAAATACAATTACAAATTAATCGACTATAAACAATAGAAGAAAAAATTACGAGGAAAATAAAGAAAAATGAATTGTGTTTACTTTTAAAATAATTTACATAAAATTTAATTTAATAAAAAAAAAAAAAAAAAATAAAAATTCTTAAAATTTTAATAATATTCAGATGAAATGTTCTTACGTTTAAATTAAATAAAGTAAATACAATACAATTTTCATATTTGAATATTATGTACATACCTAAATCTACATAAGCATCTAAAAACTAAAAATAAACTAAAATATCACTTAAATATTTAATAAAATTTAAAAATTTAATAAAACATATCTTCAGCAACCAACAACTACAAATCTTTACAGAAAACACTGAAAACCATGCCAATATAAAATATTTTTAAACTATAAACTTACTTACAACTCTATCTCACCGACATACACAAACAAAATGTTATTTTATTTACAATAAAAACTTATTTAAAAATGAAACTAACCCGACCAAAACTAAACAAGAAAAGAAGCTAAAATTTAATATATTTATTAAATTAGAAAATGTATTCAAAGTTCTTCTCTTATTTTCTCTAACTATCTTCCTACTAAAATTAAGCAAAATTTTTTTTTAACAATTTATTAATAAAAACATTTTTGATAAACATTTTTATTTAAAAGACAATAAATTATTTAATTGCTGCATGTTAATAAAAATAATATTTATTTTTATTTAAAAATTATATCTTTTTTAATTTATAATTATAATGTATAAATATTTTACCAAATACTCAATTTTTAACTTTTATTAAATTGATTAATGTAGCATTTTATACTGCATATCAAAAGTTTTTAATTGCAAAATTTTTAGAAATATAATTTTTTGAAATAACATCATATTCAAATATAATATATTTTTTTTTTAAATAATATTTTACAAAATTTCAGACAAGACTATAGAAAATACTGTAGACATGACTATAGACTAGACTATGAACTAAACTATAGACTAGACCAAAGACTAGATTAGACTAGACTATAGACTAGACTATAGACTAGAATATAGACTAGACTATAGACTACACTATAGACTAGACTATAGACTAGACTATAGACTAGACTATAGACTAGAATATAGACTAGACTATAGACTAGACTATAGACTAGACTATAGACTAGACTATAGACTAGACTATAGACTAGACTATAGACTAGGATATAGACTAGAGCATAGATTAGACTACAGACTAGATTATAGAATAGACAATAGCCTAGACTATAGACTAGACTATAGACTAGAATATAGACTAGACTATAGACTAGACTATAGACTAGACTATAGACTAGACTATGAACTAAACTATAGACTAGACCAAAGACTAGACTAGACTAGACTATAGACTAGACTATAGACTAGAATATAGACTAGACTATAGACTAGACTATAGACTAGACTATAGACTAGACTATAGACTAGACTATAGACTAGACTATAGACTAGAGCATAGATTAGACTACAAACTAGACTATAGACTAGATTATAGACTAGACTATAGACTAGACTATAGACTAAATTATAGACTAGACTATAGACTAGACTATAGACTAGACTGTAGACTAGACTATAGACTAGACTATAGACTAGACTATAGACTAGACTAGACTATAGACTAGACTATAGACTAGACTATAGACTACACTATAGACTACACTATAGACTAGACTATAGACTACACTATAGACTATGCTATAGACTACACTATAGACTAGACTATAGACTTGACTATAGACTAGACTATAGACTAGACTATAGACTAGACTATAGACTAGACAATAGACTAGACTATAGACTAGACTATAGACTAGACAATAGACTAGACTATAGACTAGACAATAGACTAGACTATAAACTAGACAATAGACTAGACTATAGACTAGACAATAGACTAGACTATAAACTAGACAATAGACTAGACTATAGACTAGACTATAGACTAGACTATAGACTAGACTATAGACTAGACTATAGACTAGACTATAGACTGGGCTATAGGCTAGACTATAGACTGGGCTATAGGCTAGACTATAGACTAGAATATTGTCTATATGACTAGACAATAGTCTATATGCCTAGACTATAGTCTGTATGACTAGACTATAGACTAGACTATAGTCTAGACTATAGACTAGACTATAGTCTAGACTATAGACTAGACTAGACTAGACTATAGTCTAGACTATAGACTAGACTATAGACTAGACTATAGACTAGACTATAGACTAGACTATAGACTGGAATATAGAATAGACTATAGACTAGTCTATAGACTAGACCATAGACTAGACTATAGACTAGATAGACTAGACTATAGACTAGACTATAGACTAGACTGTAGACTAGACTATAGACTAGACTATAGACTAGACTATAGACTAGACTATAGACTAGACTATAGACTAGACTATAGACTAGACTGTAGACTAGACTATAGACTAGACTATAGACTAGACTATAGACTAGACTATAGACTAGACTGTAGTCTAGACTATAGACTAGACTATAGACTAGACTATAGACTAGACTATAGACTAGACTATAGACTAGACTGTAGACTAGAATATAGAATAGACTATAGACTAGACTAGACTATAGACTAGACTATAGACTAGACTATAGACTAGACTATAGACTAGACTATAGACTAGACTATAGACTAGACTATAGACTAGACTATAGAATAGACTATAGACTAGTCTATAGACTAGACCATAGACTAGACTATAGACTAGACTATAGACTAGACTATAGACTAGACTATAGACTAGACTATAGACTAGACTATAGACTAGACTATAGACTAGACTGTAGTCT